CTTAACCCATTTTGCAAAGGATCTCTTTGCAGGGGCCACACCCAACCTCTAAGATGAGCTTGTATGACTTAGAAAAAGGTGCTGCTTCCTCTAGGCAGACAGCCTTAGGGTGGTGCCCTGGTATTTGTATGTCTGTCCGTGGCAGCCCTCCAGGGACTGACCCTGATGGGCTCTGGGCCTGGTGCAGCCCCCTCAACTTGAGTAGCTTCTTGTTTATGTTTTATATATTGGCCTACTGTGATATATTGCATTTGAAAAAAAATTCTTTTCTTATTTTTTTAAGACCATGAATTTAGTTTCGGTGTGCCTTTGATGTGCTAGGTGCTTGGAACACAAACGTGAAGAAGAAAGTTTCAAGGACTCTGCGCTCACAGAGGTTATATTCTGATGTGGGAGCCAGGCAATAAATCAATAAATAGTGAAATAATTGCAGACAGTGTTTTGTTGCAAGCAAGGAAATAATCAGGATACTGTAATAGAAAATAAAAATAGAAAATAAAGTATTAGGGAGGTAAGGGAAAACCTCTCTGAAGAGGGGATAATTAAGACAAGACCTGTAGGATGAAGAGGAGCTAAGGACAGTAGGAAGAGTCTTCTGGGCAGGCGGAACAGCAAGTGCAAAGACCCTGAGGCTAGAAGAATTTAAGAAGTTCAAGGAAAAGAGTCCTGATGGTTGTAATGAACAAGAGGGAACACAAAGGCAGAAAGTGGTGTGAGATCCGGTCTCTAGGACCCAGATTAATGCAGGACCTTTTAGGCCATGCTAGGAGTTGGGATTTTATCCTAAATATGATGGAGAACTATTAAATGACTTTAGTGAACTGATTAAAAGTTTGGAGAATCAATATGGCTGCTGTGGAAAGAAAGAGTAGAAGTGGGAAGATCAGTCCATGGGAGATGCTAGGAGTTGGGATTTTATCCTAAATATGATGGGGATCTACTAAATGATTTTAATGAACTTATTAAAACTTTGGAGAATCAACATGGCTGCTGTGGAAAGAAAGAGTAGAAGTGGGAAGATCAGTCCATGGGAGAGATGGTGATGCTTTGGACCAAGGTGGTGGTAGTGGAGATGGAGCAAAATGGATATATATGAAAAATGCTATGAAAATGAAATCAAGAATAGAAAGTCATGGATGACTCTTAGGGGAATTCCCTGGTGGTCCAGTGGTTAGGACTCTGTGCTCTCACTGCCGAGGACCAAGGCTCAATCCCTGGTCAGGGAACTAAGATCCTGCCAGCCAAGCAGTGTGGCCAAAAAGAAAAAAAAGAAAAAAAAAGGATGACTCTCAGTTTCAGTAAATGGATAGATACTAGTGACATTTATTGAGCCCAGAATGTCTTGTGATGGAGAGACTTAGAGAGATAAGGGTGAGGAGTAAAGAATTCAGCTATGGATATGTTAGTTTTGAGACATCTGTGTGGAGATGTCAAGTAGAGAGTTAGATGTCTGAATTGGGAACTCAGAGAAGACTGGGCTGCTGTTACAAATTTGGGAGTCATCAAGAAATAGATGGTATTAAAGCCCTGGGGTTAAAGGAGGTCTAGGAACGTAGTGGAAATGAGAATTCCCAGAGCCAATTCCTGTGGAACATGTGGAAGTTGGGTGTAGAAGGAAAAGAACTTAAAGGAACAGAACACAGTCAGAATATCAACATTCCAGAGTTTCCAAAAGGAGGGAATAGTCAGCCACTCAGGGATCAAATCAAAGGAGAAAAGGAGTGCGCGCACTGCATTTGGCAGCATGAACGTAAGTCATGGTGGACCTGGCAGAGAAATGTTAGCAAGTGATAGAAACAGAGGGCAGATGGAATTGGTCAGAGATGGTAGGGAAGGGAGATAGTAGAGACAATGGCTAGAGAAAGACTCTTCAAGATATTATGCCCTGAAAGGGGATGAGAGACATGAGGGAGTAAATGAAGGAGGAAGTGTTGATGGCTGGAACATATTTGTGTGCTGATCAGAATGATCTAATAGAGAAAAAAATTGAGTATTGGGTGGTGATAAACAGAAGACTGAAATCCTTGTGTAGGTGAAAGAGGATGGAACCTGGAAGAAGATTGAATCTGGAGCAGAAATGGGGGTATTGACCTTTGATGGGAGAAAGTGTGCTTTATTAGGAGTAAAGATGGAGAAAGTTCGCATCTGAAGAGTTTCCTTTAATCAGTGAAGCCCAGTAATTGGCTGGGAGTAAAGGGGTATGAGAAGAAGCAATGAGATAGGCCTTTCAAAGAGTGGGGAACCTTTTAAGAAAGAATTACAAGGTTGAAAGTCATGTTGACTATCCTTTTGAAGCTGATAATCTTGAATTTAAACCAAAGCCAGACAGTCCAGTTTTGTGGTTTTCTTTCATCAAGTTCAGCAATAAAAAAATGGACAGGGTGGACTTAGTTTTTTGGCCAAGAAAACAGAAAATGAGACATAGGAGTTGAGGGTGTCTGTGAGGGAGTGATTGTAATATTGGACCATGGAAATAAGCTAGACAAGGATGGAAGTAAAAGGAGGAGAAGTCTGGTGGTTAGTGAGAGATTGGCAGGGTTAATGAAGAGGAAGTTGCAAGAAGTCAAATTAATACAGAAGAGTGAGGACTGTAGAGCTAGGGGCTAAAAAACATCAGATGGAAGGGTCCAAGAGTGGGATGTTTAGGAATCCAGATTTCCAGATGGCGATGGTAAGGTCTGAGGGTACTAAGTAATTGAGAGAGGAGGAAAGAAAAAACTCCTTGCAGTTAAGAAGGCCAAGGAACTGAAAGTTCCACATCAAAATAAGCTGGAAAATCATTCTTATTTATCATGTATATTTCCTGGATCATCTCAAATCCTTATTTGGAATTGGATAGGGTGCACATAAGTAAATAATAATGAGAGTAGCTGATTCATTGTGGATCTACTCTGTAAATACCACTTTAGGTCATACTTCTGAACACTGAAATTGTTTATTACCGTTAGGATATTACTTGCGAAGTATTCTAAAATGTGTTCATTCTCATAGTTTAATTAATTGATTATTCTCATTTCTCAGTCAGTAATGATATAAGACATTTTCATTCAAGTTCAATACCTTTTTGTATGACGTACAACACCTTTCTTATCTAGCCTTATTTATGTGTCTAGTCTCATCCCCTACCATCCCCTTAAGATGTTCTAACCACACCAGCTCCTCAGAAGTCCCCACTGGCAGGTCAAGCCTACATGCCTGCCATGCTGCTTCACCTGGATAACTTCTGCTCATCCTCTAAGACCCATCTGAAATGTCAACTTCTGGGTCAAGCCTTTTCTAAAAAGTTGAACCATCTAAAAGTGTATTTTTGTGGGTCAAAGACATCACATACTGGCAATTTCATGTTGTTCATAATTTGCTACCAAAAATATAAACCTGAACCACACGTGAGGGATGGTAGCTACCACTTGCTGAGCTGTAACTATGTGATTCACATTCATGGTAAAAATGTAAAGGTACTTTAAATTTATCATCTCATTTCATTCCCTAAAAGGTAGGTATAAATACTTCCTTTTGTTAGATAAGGATTCTAAGACTTAAAAAGGGTCTTTACAAGAGAAGGTAAATAACAAGTGGCAGAACTGGGTTTTGATTCCAAAAGCAAAGGTCACATTATGCCCCTTCCTTCGTCTCACTCATCTCTGTGACTACAGTGCTAAGCACGAGCCTGGTACAGAGTTGAAATACCTATGATAATTCCTCACCTGTTCGAAAACTACCCAAACAAATTTAAAAGTTGGCTTTGTTCAGGGCCCCTGGTACTCTAAATTCTGACACGTTAAGGTGGCCAAGCCTCTTGACATTGGGTTTACCTTGATGAATGTTGCTGCTTCCTTGGAATTTGGAAAGATATGTTTTGGTGGGTGAAACTGAGAGTCTGGACTACAGTTAAAATCTTGAATCCAGTAATTGCTCTTTGTTTGAAGTCACACCCTGCTCCTGTTTGCCAGGCAGGTTCTCTATAGCAGTGTTGTAATTATCTAGGAGGACAAGTTCTTTAGATCACAAGAAGAACAAGTGGATTTGTTGACACGTGGGTGCCAAGTCTTGATGTAATGCAAACAGAGGGCAGAAGGTATCTGGATTCATTCCCTGAATACCCTTTTGCTTCCATTGACATAGAACTTCCCTGGCGTTGTTAAGAAAAGTGTTGCTTTCTTGCTAAAATAAAGACCAGGAATCCTTTGGCAAATACAACTTAGCTGCTCTGGGTCCCCTGCATTTGGCTAACATTCCATCTTGATTTGAATTTTGATCCTGTAGTTTTCAACAGAGTTCCTGATGTCCACAGCAGTGGTTCTCAGACTTTAGTGAGCATTAGACTCACCTGGAGGGCTTTTTGGAACACAGATTTTTGGTTCCCACCCCAGAGATTCTGATTCAGTCTGTCTGGCCTGGAGCCCTAGATTCTGCCAATTCAATCAGTCTCCCAGGTGAGGTTGAAACTGCTGGTCCAAGGATTACACTTTGAGTAGCTTAAAATCTTGCTTAAGTCCTGGTTTATGGGACACCAAGTGAGGTTGAATATAAAAGCAAAAACTCAGGAATTATCTGAATGCTGAATTGTATAGGCAAAAAAAAAAAAAAATCAGTGACTTAAAAAAATGATCTCCTGATTTCTGACATTTTGTTAGAGACCAGCAACAATTCCTCTTGTGTGGAGGGATACCAGTTGGCTGGAACTTGGGAGTCCTTCTTCTTTCCAGGAGCTCTTTTCCAAGATCTTAGAGCAAATTTCTCCTCTGTGACCTTCAGAACATTAGTGTGTTTTGTTCTTAAAACTACCCTAAAAGAAGATGCTGTATAAAATTGATCAGTCTTTCAATGCAAAAATGAATGCAAGAAATTTTCAAAATGAAAACATTACATAATATAATAAGAAATGTGGTCATTAGATTCAGGATGCATTTTTCTTTTGTTTAGAGACTAAAAGATATTTGCATTTTTATTAGATTCAAAATGGTGTGAGTCATGCAGATCAACACATTTCTTTTTCACAGGAATCCTTTGTGTTTGAACCCAACTGCCTCTTCAAAGTGGATGAATTTGGCTTTTTTCTGACCTGGAGAAGTGAAGGCAAGGTATGGCTCAGAAAGAGCAAGCTGCTCCTTCTTGCTCTCAGGGTGAAGGCATTTCATTTTTCAACAAGTGATGGAGTGCCTCTTGAGGGCATGGACCCTACGCTTATTCATTCGTTCAAGACTTTTAAAAATGTATGCTAGGAGTTGGGGATACATTGATGGTCAAGGATGTGATCCTCATAGATTCCAGCCTAGGATCAGAGTCACGCATCCAAAAAAAAGAAAAAAGTTACAAGTCATTGAGAATTGTGAAAGAGAAGTTCAGGTTGTTACAAGAGCTTTAACAGGCAAGTCTGATTTAAGTCTTGGGAGTTAGAAAGGTTTCCCAGAAGAGAGATGTTCAAGCTGAAGTCTCAGGGGTGCATTTAAGGGCATTTTCATCTGGTTATACCCCAGAACTTAACACACAGCACAATGACACATTTCATGAACCTTTGGGTAAAATTTACAAAAAGTAGAATCAGAGTTATATAAAAGCTAGCATAGTCCCACTTACTATTTCATGTACACACATATATTTAATAATATATATACAGTATTAATGTTATTACGTGTATAAAAGTAACATTTTATAAACATTTTATAAATAATTATTCAAAGTTGCATTCATACATATATTTGAAATGGAATGTTTGGGGCCTTGACTTTCTGTCTGTTGGAAATTATTATTATTATTATTATTATTATTTGTTTTTAATCCTGCTTCTGCCTTACTCTAGTCAGCATTGCCTTCATCATCACAAACATTTGTCACCTTGTCTGTGCCATAGGTCTGGCAGAATTTAGGCTCACTGCTATGCTAAATTCTCTCTTTGCAGGAAGGACAAGTTCTAGAATGTTCTCTCATCAACAGTGTTCGACTGGGAGCCACACCAAAGGTACCTGTGATTGGTGTTTGCTGGTCTTCTAAACACAGAATGTTGTTTAACCCGTTACTGCCCCTCAATCATCAGCTGGGAATGAAGAACAGGCACAGTTTAGAAATCTCATCATTAGCTCACCTTGAAGGCTCAGTTTGCCTCTGAGAGAAAAAAGAAGGAAAGAGCGCATAAATCAGCCTTCTTCACAGTGATTGCTTTGTTCGGATAAGAAGCTGTTTGCATAGTGGTGCTAGGAATTTAAAAAATGTTTTTTCCTAGAATATTCTAGCACAGTATTTATCCCCTTTTCCATAATAGCCCTGCAAGTTTTTAAATGTTCAAAACGAAATTATGTTCCTCACTTTGTTTTTGTTTTTTATTCTTTAGTGACCCTCTTTTATGTTAGTTACAATTGCTGTGTAACCCTGTTGGTATTTCCCCCTGAGTTCTTGTGGAGGACAAAACCACTATTTTTTTTTGCTAATTAGGGTAAACTTACACAGTTTTCATTCCAGATGAGGATGCCAGGGCTCCTAGAGGTGCACACACTCACTCTTTGTGTCCAGACTATTTGAAAGACTTAATCTCATTTTTGAGTAACTTGTGGTTGCTGGTTGTGGCAATGCCCTGCATATTTGCCTGAATCCTCCGTGACTGTTCTCTGTGAGAGATCCCTTTGACCTTTGTGGACGCAAGCAGGTCCCAGTCAGAGCCTTTCTGTCCTGTTGCCATAGTCCGAGTCCTCCGATAACTACAACGAGAAATCGAAAGAAAGACCCTCCCTCCCAGTCTTCTAAACTGATAATTTTATAATACTTTTCTTACCAAATGAGTCTCAGTCATGTGTAGTGTTAAAGATTTTACCTCCAGGACTTTTAGAATAACGCCAGATATCTGGGCATTTTTAGATAGAAAAAAAAAAAAAATTTGCCCTAATATATGTTTTTTACATCAAACATAGTTTCCTTTTACCATCTTTCTGCCATGCTCTGTGATCTAATGTATTTTTTCCTATTTGTCTACCTCAATAGGATCCCAAAATTTTGGCTGCTCTTGAAGCTATTGGAAAGTCAGAAAATGACCTGGAAGGGCGGGTAGTTTGTGTCTGCAGTGGTACAGATCTGGTGAACATCAGTTTCACATACATGGTGGCTGAAAATTCAGAAGTAACTAAGGTATCCTCTGTGAAACAGCCTCCTTCCCTTCCCCCCCCCATATGTACATATGTGGTGCACATAATTTTTCATGTATAATTGTAATAGATATTTTAAATTGTAAAATAATTTAATTTAAATTTTTAAAAATGATTCCATTGCCTTGCTGGAATGTTGGTCTAGAAAATTCAGCAAGCACAATACCCTTTTAGCCCGTCCCTCACGTATGCCAAGAGCCCGAACACCTACTGTGTTATGTTGTAGGAGCCTCTCACACTGGAATGTACACAGGAATCACCTGGGATTTTGTAAAAATGCAGATTCGGATTCAGTAGGTCTGAGGTGAGGACAAATCCTCCCTTTCTAACAAGCTCCCAGTTGATGCTGACGTTGCTGGTCTGAGAACCACACTTTGAGTAGCAGCACTGCCCAGTAGAAAACTAATGCAAGCCACAGATGTAGTTTAAATCTTTCCAGTAGCCACAGGTTGAATTAATTTCAGTATTTTAGATTCCACATATAAGCGATGTCATATGATATTTGTCTCTCTCTGTCTGGTTTACTTCACTTTGTATGATAATCTCTAGGTTCATCCATGTTGCTGCAACTGGCATGATTTCATTCTTTTTATGGCTGAGTAGTATTCCATTGTATATATCTACCACATCTTCTTTATCAATTCATCTGTCGATGGACAGTTAGATTGTTTCCATGTCTTGGCTGTTGTAAACAGCACTGCTATGAGCATAGGGGTGCATGTATCTTTTCGAATTCCAATATATCATATTTTAACCCAATAGGTCATTTTAACATGAAATCAATATAAAATCAGTTAATATATTTTACATTCTTCTGCTTATACAAAGCCTTTAAAATCTGATGTGTATTTTTAATTCAGATGGGCCACATTTCAGTGGCTGCATATGGCTAATGGCTACCCTGTTGGACAGTGCAGGTCTACGTGATTAAGATATCTACCCCCCCGCCATAAGCTATTAAAGTATTGAGTTATAATCCATCATAATACTGTAACCAGCCTACTATTGCCCTGGCAAGTGAGTCTCAAAGAGATTTTGGCCAAAGTAGAGAGCTTCAAATTTAAATCACTTTCCTGCAAGTCATTTGTCTTCAGGGTGGTTTTACCTGTGGATGGAGCGCCCATTATCTTTGCATAATATGTGTGAAGAGGCCTGGGCCTTTGCTCTACCATTGCAGAAACGTGGCTTTAGGGGATTGGGAAGGGGAACATTTTATTTTCCCATTGATCCTGCAGGTAGCTCAGTGTAGGGTCGAATGAGAAAGGCCATCATTAGAAATATTGAAATTTAGAGCCTGAAGAGAATATACAGGTAAGATTATTTGATGAAACAGAGATGAGAAGATTTAACCCTGGACCCAGAGCTAATGGGTACAGAATTGAGTTCTGCAGATTCCAAGACCATCTTTCTTTCACCCTCACTCACAAAGTGTGGTCCACATTCCAGCTGCATAGGCCTCACCTGCGAGCTCCTTACACATCAGAGTCTTGGGTCCACTCAGACCTACTGATTCAGAATCTTCATTTCTAACAAGGCCCCCCAGTGACTCATATGTGCAGTAAAGTTTGAGAAGCTCCCAGCTGTGGCTTTGGGTCCAGGAATGGATGTTCCATGTGAAATGAGAGCCGTTGCTTCTGTCCTTGTGGTGGTTTGGTTGGTTCCATGCTGTTTTCCCAGATCACCTTGCTTTGGGGAAACAGATTTTGCCTTCAAGTTCTTTCTTTATTGTGCTCAGATCAACACCTTGTTTGAATGGTTTCTTGAACCCTGCTGATCTAAACAAGCATCGTTTCTTAGAGTTCACGCTTACGTTATTTGCTACAGAGGTCTTTCTGGTTGCTATTTGCAATAACAACATTCAATCCCAGAAGCCCATGCTGACCACCCAGGAAGAAAAAGACTTGTTAATCAGACAGAGATATTTAGCTGCCTGAAGTTTTGCAAAAACACAGTTCTGTAGACCGGTATGCCCTGGTTTTTGTCAATGCGTCATATTACAAGAAACAGTATGACTCCTATGAGCTTAAGAACCTGGGCTTGGGACCAGGTTGCCTGGGCTTAAATCCGTGCTCTTTCTCTTCCCAGCTGTGTGACTGAGACATGCAACTGGTCTCTCTGAGCGTCACCTTCTGAATCCATAAAATAAGAACAATACCAAAATGCCTGCTCTTAGGATTGTTGTATAGATTACGAGTTGTTACATGGAAAGTGCTTAGTGCACGGCCTTTCTCATCCAAAGCCCTCAAAGTGTGCCTGCTATTCTGATCACAGGGTCCTAGAATTTTAGAGCTGGAGATGGAAATTAAGCAGAGCTTCCCACCACCTCATTTGTCAGATGTGGCAAATGAAGCCAAGCAGTTACACAACAGGCTAGGCCAGAGTCCAGCCTAAAGCTCAGGCCTTCTGATTTCCCGAGTGATGCTGTCCACCCACCCCATCCCTGAGCAAGTACAGTCCTGGGAAGGTGGCTCAGATCAGTAAGCCCATAATGTTCTTACTTTCCATGGTTTGATTGTTGTCAATCTTGGTTCCTTTTGTTTAAAAGTCATGATGTGAAACCTATACTCATGAGTACGTGGTATATATGTGTATGTTCCAGGTGGAAATTTATACTTAAAGATAAGATTTGGGGTGTTTTTGCAGTAGCATTTCCACTGAATTTAAGATTAGCTGGCCAAACAAGTAGGACTATAAAATAATTCTGTACTGGATTTTTAATTCAAACTCAATACTGTTTGACCCTGCTCTTATTAAATAAACTAAATGTTTCAGCTTCTGGGAACTATTAGTTACAATTTTATAATTCATTAATAATGTAATATGTAAATATTAATCTCACTGTCCAAACTAGACAGCCCATGCTTATTAGAGCATGTCCTTTTGGTTAATTGATACTTGGAAGATGTTGAACAAATTTTTCACTTATGTATACACGCGTGTGTGGATAATCTTGCCTACTTCCTGATTTCAAAACTTAACTGTCTGCATCCAGATCGTAATACTTACCACCTCCAGCATTGACATTTTCCCCATCACCACTGCCTTATTCCTATGCCTCTATATATGTTACTATCCCTAACAGAACACACAAGCCATCAAAGTGAGAGGATTTATACAAAATACAGATCTAATTACCACAGATCAAAATGATGGCAGAATTCATACATTAGATCAGATCAAGTGAGAAATGTAAAGATTTCCCAGTGTGCCTGAAATGGTGTTTGGGTCTCAGCCTGTGGTATCACTTTCACCTGAGCTTAGGAGCCTAGAATAGAATTATGGGACCATGGAATATGCTATCTGTCCTCTTAGCTAGCTGTATTCCGGTCACTTTATCACAGAAGTCAGTTAACACAAGTCACTTTTATAAAAATATTTTTATTGGAGTATAGTTGCTTTACAATGTTGTTAGTCTCTACTGTACAGCAAAGTGAATCAGCTATACATATATCCCCTCTTTTTTGGATTTCCTTCCCATTTAGGTCACCACAGAGCATTGAGCAGCGTTCCCTGTGCTATACAGTAGGCTCTCATTAGTTATGTATTTTATACTTAGTACCAATAGTGTATGTATGTCAATCCCAATCTCCCAGTTCATCCCACCCCCACTTCCCCCTTGGTATCCATACGTTTGTTCTCTACATCTGTGTCTCTATTTCAAGCAAGTCATCATTTTTAAAAATAACGCTTACAGACCTTAAACGCTTTATTTTAACTTGAAGCATATAAATGTGGTTCAATTGTTGACCCGTCTTTTAATGTTAGGGCCGAGGTCTTTGCATTCAGTATGGGTCTGTAGGTGGGGGTTGATGTAGTTTTTCTTTTTAATTGAAGTACGTATAGTTGATTTACAATGTTGTGTTAATTACTGCTGTACAGCAAAGTGATTCAGTTATACATATATATACATTCTTTTTTTCATATTCTTTTCCATTATGGTTTATCATAGGATATTGAATATAGTTCTCTGTGCTATACAGTAGAACCTTATTGTTTTTCCATTCTATACATAAAAGTGTCCACCTGCTAACCCCAAACTCCCACGCCACCCCTCCCCCAACCCCTTCCCCCTTGGCAACCACCATTCTGTTCTCTATGTCCGTGATTCTGTTTCTGCTTCTTAGATAGGTTCATTTGTGTCATATTTTAGATTCCACATATAAGTGATATCATATGGTATTTGTCTTTTTCTTTCTGACTTACTTCACTTAGTATAATAATCTCTAGTTCCATCCATGTTGCTGCAAATGGCATTATTTCGTTCTTTCTTATGGCTGAGTAGTATTCCATTGTAGATATGTACCACAGAGGTTGATGTATTTTTTGCCTATACTTCGCCCATAATGCATTGCCTGAAATAATCCAGTTTGGTTTCTTTAAAGTACAAGTGAGACTTTAAAGGCACTCATGGAGCAAATCAAAATACAGAATCCTACAACTGCATGACTTCTTTCCCTAATCCTTTAGTTGTCTTATTTACATCGAGATTGAGAAAAAGATTTTAGCAACTTGCCTTTAAAGAAATCTTCCCAAATATTCACCAAAAGAAACAACAACCCTCTTTCTTTCCACAAGCATATTTCACTGGTTCATGTAATTTTTATTACATACATAGACAGGTATGGAAACAAATGTAAGTAACTCATGGTAAGCATGCAAGGCGAGAGCAAAAAGGTACAACATGTTGGAAAACAGCTTATTAACTGTAAGGGTTTGGCATTCCCTGGGTGGTCAGAGTGTTTTGCTTGTTTTATGCCATCTGATAAGTCTTGGTCTGACCAGTGAAATAGAAATTTTAAGAGGGTTTCTAGTACAGAACTTGCTTAGGAGTATTTATTTGAGATTCTTGAGTCTGTTCTTAATTCCCAGGCTTTTACGATACTTACAGTCCAATGATTCTGAAAAATTCACTTAAACATTTAATCCAAGCAGATGGGCCAACCTTCAATTCATGTCCTCTCCATGGAGGACCAACTTTTACAC